GAAAGGATTACGTAATGTTTTACTTTTTATACAGATTCAATGCGATTTTCTTTTTCTTTGGTTGATTTTTTTTTTTCCATTTCACTCTTTTCCTTTCTGTTATGTATTTGACCCTTGCTTCCCTCCTTCTTTAAGGTGACACTTTCAGCTCCTCCTCCTCCGTCTTCCTCGACTGTCCTCTCTGAGTCATTAAACGTCTCTGTCAGCTTATTTTTCTGCTTCTCTCAGATTTCATCAGTGGAATAAGCCACATCCACAAACACGTTCTGCATTTAAGCCTGAGACAGAGAGGGAGGATGTGTCGAAAGACAAATTGCCTTTTATAACAAAGCTAATGAAGATATTGGCTGCCCACCACCCACACCTCCACCTCATCCTCTGTTTTTCTTCTCCTTTCCTATCTACCTTTTCCTACACGTTTCCTGTGTCCCCATGTTCCCACTTGACCTCGCTCCACCTGACAATAACTCACTTCCTCCCCTGTTTATCTTCTCCTCCTCCTCCCAGGTGGACTGTTCATTAGGAATACAGATCAGGAATACACAGCCTTTCGACTAGCTATCTTCCTTCACAACACCAGCCCGAATGCTACAGAAGCTCCTTTTAATTTGGTTCCTCATGTGGACAACATCGAGACCGCCAACAGCTTTGCAGTGACCAACGCATGTGAGTAGATATGTGGGAAGTTGAAACAGATGAAATGAAAGTATGTTCTCTTTTGTTGTTCCTGTCTGCTCCTCGGTCTTTTCATGTTTAAACTCTTACATGACATTCCTACATCACCTGTCACAAAGTGATGCATCTCATCACAACTCATGATAGTTGAGGACTGTGATTTAAACAGGTTTTCTAAAGTTGTTTCAAAAGTTAGTACATGTTTACTCTCTGCTCTGTCCACGCATGGCAGATACATTTGCACCGTCCGTGTCTGTTTGCTTTCTAAAACTAAAAGGCCACGCTCCTTTTCAACTTACAAATGTTGAGAATAAAATCAAAACTGCTATTCTGTATTTATATTTTATGTTAGTAGCATTATTTCAGCATACACAGTCCCCAGTGAGGCAACACCTTATGGGACACATTTAGAGAACATGTATAAAGAATGAATGAAGTGAGGAAAAACAACTGGGAGCAAGATGTACAAAAAAACAAATGTAAGGTTCCCATTATAGATGGCTAATAAATAGTTTATAGATACATTAACTCCCCCATATGCACTTTATAAATCATTAATAACTGCTAATTATGCATTAATTAAGGGTGACAGAGAGACAAAACTGACCAGTTTCTTG